AGTGTCCAGCCCTGTCCCCCCCACCACCATACAGACGCGCAGTGTCAGCCTGTTCCCCCACCACATACAGACGCGCAGTGTCAGCCTGTCCCCCCACCACGTACAGACGCGCAGTGTCAGCCTGTCCCCCCCACCACATACAGACGCGCAGTGTCAGCCTGTCCCCCCACCACATAACAGACGCGCAGCGGGGTGATGATGACGGATGAGGTGCGCGTTTTGAGGTGGAACCTGTTGGTGGAGCAGGCGAAGTGCTGCAAGGGGCACTGTTTCTTGTGCTTTCTAGGTGAGACTGGACCCATGGTGGCTGCTACTCTGAGACTCGGGATTGCCGTCTTAAATGGCGGGAACTCCACGGTGCAGCAGGTAATGTCGATAAGCCGCCCACAGAGCGTGCTTTGCAAACAGAGGACCCTGTAGCCATCCTATTGGGCTGTTTTACTTATCCTGAAATAGTTATTAGTTGTACACTTTTGCATCTTCTGTGTAAAATGTGCCTTTATTTTATGGTCATCTTGTCCCCAGTATCCGAGTATCTTCTGGGTAGCGCGGTGAACACCTGTGTGGGAAAGTAACTCTCTTTAGAAACCTGAAGTCATGCCATGTGGTGCACTTTATGTGAATAAGTCAGCATAAACCAGCTGGCTTGTTTCAGTAGTGAAAAATAGTTTTACCTAGGGAGCCTAGTTTGGTAACGTGTTTTATTCACTGACTCTAAAGATTTTGTTATGTATTCTGTGTGAAGCTGGCTCCTAGGTTAACAGGTGAACAGAACGCACTGTTAAGGATTTTTCTAGTTAATAATTCTTTCTGTTCTCTGAAGATATGAGAAAATCACTTCCCAACCAAGTTTTATAACTATGCTCGTTTAAAAGTTAGACATTTTCTGGGCTTGGATTTTGATACTTCACCCATTTGTGGCAAAGGAGACAGCCTCTATATCCAGCTGACAGCCAAGGTCTGTGTGTATGTTCGACAAAGAGTATTCGGGTAGGCTGTGAGGAACAGACTGTCAGAGGTGTGTACCGCATACCTCTGGGGACACCATTCGCTGGGCAGAAGTGTGGCTCTAAGCTAGGAAAAATTCTTGTGCTCCTTGAAAAACAGCAAAACACAACATGATTTAAGTATCAGGTTGTGTTATGCTAAAACTAAAATCTTCCTCTTATTTTCGTATCTTGGCTTCTGTTTGAGAAAGAATAGCTTATGAACAGGAAACTGATAGCTATTCTTCCTTGGGAAAGTCTAGGGAGGCAGGGAAAGGGCTAACTGAGGGAAAGGGAGGCCATGGAGAGCCTTGGAAGGCTTGACTTCAAGTTGCTGTGAACCTCAGAGTCGCTGCAGTGGGACAGGGCCATGCATGTGCTTCTGGAAGACCCTGGAGCCCAAGGAAAGGGAGGCAGGGAAACGGTGAAGGCTGCTTTGGGGCTGGTAAAGATTTGGACTGGGTTAGGTGGTAACTCAGAATAGTTGAAAAATTCCCCTCTACCTTCTTCTCAAATTGTGTACTTTTTGCTGTAAGCATAATCATTACACGTTAGAAATGGAAGAGTCTATAGGAGACGTGATCTCGGCCGGAGCGCTATTAAGCTTCTCCTTTTTTATCAAAGCCTCTGGCAGTTGGTTGACACTTCTGGCCTCCTCTCGGTTTCTAAGCACACAAAGTAAACGACACAGGTTTGCAAAGAAAACCAAATATATTGAATTGTGGTTATCAAAGTATTATAAAACAGGGTTTTGATAAAGCCATATGTGTTTCTTTATGAACTCATTAAATAAAGGGCCTAGTGCTTGTTCTAATAATTGCTGAGAAGAAAGGGTCAGTGTAAATGTTTTTAAGTAGCTCCGACGGCTGTCATGCGATATGAAAATGTCTGAAGTGTCACTGGGGTCAGAATCATCGTCGCTACTGATGCTGCTTGTGTTTGTTGTCAGGTTTCCAGTTGAAAGTGATGCTGAAGTTCAGTTAGAATTTAGTAAAAAATAAAGGTGAATTTTTTTCTCATCTAATTGACAGGTGTTCTTTTTGATTCCCATAGTCAGTGACCGTGTGACTTAAAAAAAGGAAAAATAAAGAAAACCTGCCTAATCTCTCCACAATACTTAATCAAGAAATAATTCCCCTTGATTCTGCATTGCTTCAAAAGACCTTAGTTTGTATAGTGTACATATTCAGAAATCCTCGGCGCCAGAAGGAGCCGTGAGAGATCATGTAGTGAATGTACTTGTTGTCTGTGCAGACCTCTTCTTTGTGCTCCAAACCTTCAGGTATACAGTCCACTGCTTCCCTTCCAGCCTGTAAGCCGAATTCAGTTTGTTTTAAAAGACCAATGATTAATAAATGCTTCGTGTTTTATTAGACCAGTAGATTGTTACACACATATCCTAAACGGCTCTGTGTGTGTGTGTGTATCTATGTGTAGGTGTGTGTGTATGTGTACACACACACACATGCACACATACGTACACACCATGCGTGTGGCAGGGTATATGCAGCCTTCACATACTTGGTTTTATATTATTCTGGAAATAGATGACTGCCAAATTCTGACTGCTTGGCTAAGCCTCTTCTAGACAGTGCTGATAACCAGACTGTCTCAAGATCCAGAGACGGGCAGCATCTTTGTGTTCTTAAAACCTTTGGTGTGCCTTCTGTCTTCCTACCATCTTGTATGAGCTTCTTACTGTACACCTCCAGCTCGTTTGATCCACATTCGAAGTGGCTGTTTCGCTGTGGCAGGTAACAATACACTAGCAAGACGGAGCACCATGGCTTTAGCACTTTCCGCGTTTTTATTTAACCAGAGCTTTGACCACAGAATCTGGACATCACTCTGAGAACAGAGGAGAAAAATGACTCCTGGGGTTTCAAGACCCTAGTAATGGAGACGGAATCTCTGTCTGCAACGTTAGCACGTGGTGGTCACAGCCCTCGGGCCGCAGCGCCGTCTGAGGAGCCCACTTCTGCGTGGGGATCTGTGAGGGGCGTCCGGGTGGGCCTTCTTCCCAGGAAGCTTGAACTTAGTGTCTGAACCTCCAGACCCTCACAGTGACTTGAGGAGGACTGAGAGCAGTATTCCCCCCGGACGTGTGTGCTGCCGACTGTGCTCGGTAAAGCAGCTCCCGCGTCCCGAGCCGTGTTTATGTCCTGCAGCTTTCTCTCTGTGACGCGCTTGTCACCACTCCCTGGGAAAGACCGTGTCCGTCAAGTTCGTCTGCACTGGGGTTTTTACTCTATTTCAGAACAGAAAGGATGTTTTTCTTATCTCTTTACCTATTTAACAAAAAACAAGCCTGTGTTCAGTGGCCATCTGGTTTATGTATTTGCCGTAGAAAATGCTCGACTACCTCAAGGAGAAAAAGGACGTGGGCTTCTTTCAGAGCCTGGCGGGCCTGATGCAGTCATGCAGGTAAGGACGCGCCTCCCTCGCTGGGGGTCCACTCAGTGGTTGTCTCTCACGGTACTGGCGTCACGTTACTGACGGAACTTATGCACAGAAGCATTTTTCAGTGATTAAACGCACTTTAAAGTGGGGCGAAAGGTGGTGGCTTACAGCCTGTCTTGCCAGATATTAGTAATGTCTTAATTACTAACTTACTCTATGTTAACAGTGTCTTAAACTAGTCTTCCCGTGGTTTAAGTACGGACCTTGGAGAATTAACATGTATTTTGCATCCTTGAAAATGAGTCGTGTGTGATTTTTAAAAGACAAAAAAGAAAATGCCCTTTCATTTGATCTGGGAGCTTTTTGGACCACTTTTCATCTTCCCTAAATAAATGATCCTTAACCAGCTAGTTTATGGTCACCATTTTCCATTTTTTTACAGTATTTAAAATCATTCGGGCAACATTTGACTAAGGAACATGACACATGCTTCACATGATAAGATATTCCAACTGGAAGAAACATGATCTTTGTAATTATGCTTCAGTATGTGTGCTAACTTTGTAGTGATCTCCCGAAGTTGGAAGCCTCTGATGCCATGTGCCTGACTTTCCCGTGGCTCAGTTCAGTGTGGGCCCCTGAGAGAGGCTGGTCTAGAAATGTGGTTGGCAGCCGCTGAAGTGGGGTGTGCTCTCAGCGTGTGTGACGTTTGGTTCGCCTTTTCAGACGCTTGCTCCCCTGAGGAAGGGGGTTGTCTGTGGGCCCTCTCAGCGTTTTCTCCTTGCTGTTGCAGCGTCCTCGACCTCAATGCATTTGAGCGACAGAACAAAGCCGAGGGACTCGGGATGGTGACGGAAGAAGGATCAGGTATTGACCACTTATGACTTACAATAGCATCGCCTGTCCCCGCTTCTCTCCTGAAGTGAGTCCGTTGTCGGTACCTTTTCGGTGCGGAGAGACACAGGGCTGTCTGCAGTGGACGGACACTCCTGGGACTTGCTTGAGAGTCCCTGGTAGGGCACTCACACAAGCCCGCCTGTCCGTGTTGGTCGCTGACTCCTTTTTGTTCCAGAAATGCTGTAGGTGGCCCTTCCTCCCCTGAGCTGGGAGTAGATACAGGTCCCTTACCAGAGAATTATCAGTACAATTACAGGACACGTGGGTGACCCAAATCAGGAAACGTTTGATTTTCCTGGGCCCCGTGAGCAACTGCCAGGCTGCTTCAGTCTCCTTGGGATAGTGATGCTTTCAGGCCTTCCACCCCGGTGTCCCTGCCAGCTCTCCTTAGCACAGGGACCCTTCCGTCTCACATGCCCACATGTCTTTGCAAGTCCAAGTGCCTTAGTGAAATAAATTAAGGAGTGATTTTTGTGTGTAAATAACTCTGATCACTGAACTTACGTGCACACGAAAGTAACGACTCACATCATCTTAGAGCTTTGCTGCCTAGAAATACACGTACAAACTGGGCAGTTCAGCACGCAGCACATTTAAAGCAGAAGTAACTATTGTGGCACATTCGTTTCAATATTTATTAAGACAAAAATCTTCAATATTTTTGGTTTTGATTTGTTTTTATTATTCTGTGTTTGATTTTTAATTAATTTAGTTGCAGTAAGGCCCTGTGTGTTTATCTGTTTTTGCTCGTTTGGTCTGGTTTGGAGTTGTCACCTTATCAGTGTATTAGTTTTTGGAACATTGGGTCTTCTATAAAACTAATCTTACTGCAAAAAATAAATTTTCTCCCCTCTGCCATTTGTAGTCGGTTTGGCTTTCTGAAATATTTTAGAGTTAACTAATCACTCTAATTATCTCTGTATATTTTTGTTCTCAGAATAGGACAAAGAATTAGCCGCATTTTTCTTCCTGTGTTCTAAAGACGATCATTTATACGTATTTTAACCTTGCTGCTACTGTAGAGATTGCTCCTGTGATTTTATTTTCTGCTTGGCGTTTGAATGTGTAGGTTCAGCCATCGAGTATCAGTCGTACCATTACTTAATTGGATTGGCTTCCTTCAAGAGAAGCCACCTGTGGTATTCCAGGTTTATTTAGGTTTTCTGAAAATGTATATTAAGCCAAAGCTCTTCCTGACAAACGCTTGTGCTGACGTTACAACTCCTGGCCTAGGGGACCCATTCGGGGAACCCAGAGCCTCTGCAAATCTCAGGTCCCATTGTCTGCACACCTCTGATGTCTCACAGGAGTCCTGGGCGCTGCCCAGCTGTGAAGTAACTGAAAATGGAAGAATTCTCTGTCCAGAGTCTGCCTTCCCTCTCTCGGAATTAGACATCAGTTTCCTTTTCCTGACAGTAATTACCTAGTGTTCCCGAGGCCGTGGACGCAGTCCCAGCAGTTGTTCACGGTCACTGCTCCCGGCAGCTCCCACAGAGAATCAGTGGCCTCGCAGGTTTGCTTTAGGGCCTCCTGTTTTTTGTCAGCCAGATAAGACTGGAGTAACGGTGTGTGTCCCAAGTCAGAGATAACTCGGTGAGAGTGACCATCTGATGGGAGGTTTGTTCACTTCCCAACATGAGATCGGTCTGGTTAGTTTATTCTTTGTAAAAGATACACAGAAGTAATTGCCCAAGTTGATTAACACGTTTTCTATTTAATTTCCTTATAAACAGCAAAACAAAAACAAAATCTCAACTTCTTTCTTTCTCCTCATTTCCTTTTCTTTCGACTACTGTAAATGTACCACCCTCCCTTCCTCAGTCATCACTCATGAGCGTGGTAATTATTAAAAATGGGCTGGCTTTTCTTTTTTTGCTCCTTGATTTGTTAACATTGTGTACAGCTTTAATAGTGACAGTTTTGTGCATTTTTTCCTTTTATAGACCGTTTTAACAAGTAGATTGTTTACTTGCCATTGTTCTGCATCCTGTTATTTTTTTTAATTTCTACTTCAAGCTTTCCTTTTCTTTTTTTCTTTCTGTGAGGTTGTGCAGTGATTAACAGATGAGACATGAAGGGGCCACGAACATTTAAATTATGTTTTTGGATTTGTTGCGTTCTGTTCTTTCATTTTAAAACGTTTCTGTGGACCCTGTGTTTGCAGTTGTGTGTAAACGAGTGAGTCACAGACGTGTGCAGTCGTTCCCTGTGGCCCTTCTGTGCTGGACATGCCGTGGCTTTATGGCTGCACCCAGTGGTGCCAGGAAACCAGTGGGGGTCCAGGTGGCCCGGGAAGAGCCCGGTCGCCTCCTGGCTGTCGGGCTCGGCCGGTCCCCTGCCAAGTACCGAGGGAGCTACAGAGCTTTTCTCTGTTGCTTTCAAAGTACCACACATTAACAACCCTCTAACATAAAAACAAATTTTCATCCTTAAGACCGAATTGCAAGAACAGTAGAAAGAGCAGCAAACATTTACTCTGCAGACAGACTCACATAGTAACACTGCCATCGCCACGTCGTCTTTGATGGACGTTACGTCCAATGGTGATGACGAAGGGAAGCCACTGCTGGGCTGGTCCCTAGTGTGGCCACACGGCTACCGCGAGCGCGCGGTGCTTCCCCAGGACACGCTGTTGCCTTGATCGAGACCTAACAGGAGAGCCAGTGACGACTGCCCGTTAGCCCTCTGAGTTGTGTGCTGTGTCCCAGCTTGAGCACGCCTCTGCTGACGCCACCTTGGGCAGGTTTTTTTAAATCTCCATTACGCGGCCATTCTTTTGTTTAAGACTCTGCAACGGTTAAGAAAAGTCTGTACCCCCATAGAAGAAAGAAAGTCAGCCATCCCTCTTGGGGAACACAGAAAAGGCTGGAAAAGTCTGAATCTGTTAGTGATGTCGTGGCTTCAGAGCTTGAGGCCTGAGCTGCTTAAACTCAGTGCTGAGAAAACAGTTTGATGGGCCTAAACCGCTGTTCTAGCCGAGTGTCTTTGTGAGGCTGAGTCTCTCCCTGTTGACGACAGAATGACCATAAATCACAGAGCCACGGAAAATGGACGACTTAAAACGCGTGAGCTTTTTGATGCCCACCACTTCCCACAGGGCTTTTCGCCCGTTACTTAAATCAGGAGACAGAGGGGCAGAGGGTTACGTGGCTTGGGAGGGTTACCCAAGGAGGTGGCGGAGTCAAGACCGCAGTGCAGGCGGTCTGCCTCCTGCTCTCTAATGTGCCGGTTCCGCCTGCCGGCTCCCTCCCCCCAGCCCACAGGAGTCTCTGGGGGCTTATTTTGTGTCCAGCACGTTGGCTTCCGTAGAAGTTTTAGCCCCTTTACTTAACGTAGCGTCTCCCTTCAGAAACACCAGTCTGTTCCCAATTTCTGTGTTCACTACTGAAGCCTTCACGTCACTTTTAAACTTCCTATGGTGACACATATTCCTCACGTGGCACTGAGATACCATTAGGAAAGATGTGCCCCTCCACGTTCGTATAGAACTGCGCCCTGGTGTCTGTGAGGGGCTGGTTCTGCAGATACCAAAACCCCCAGGCGCTCAGGCCCCTCCCGTGAATGGCAGGCGTGGCACAGTGCTGCCTCTGCACCGCGGATGCGGGAGGACGGCTGTGTGAGGGCTCGCACGAATGGCGCATCCCCCTGCTGCTGCTGCCGCCACCGTGCAGCCTGCCCTGCGTCCCTGTCCCACCTTAGCGAATTTCCCCCACTTCTGCAAAAGCCTGGACCTCCCTCTTGTTTCAGAAAAAAGGCTCTTCAGCAAGTGTGTATAGACTGCGACCTGCTCAGTGTTGTCCTTCCCGTCTACTCTTTAGTCGTACGTGTTTTCTTTAACGTATAATGATGTTCAAAACCAAAAACTTATATGAATATTTGAAATTTCATTTCATCCTTGGATTTTTAATTTGTTTTTTCTCCGTACCATTGAACCTCATTACTAATTCATTCTGAGCTTGAAAGTGCAATTTTCCTTCTTTCAAACTGCTTCTTATACTGGAGTACAAGATTCTGGCTTTTATTTTTAATCATTTTGCAATGGTCCTAGACTCGTAAGCAAGATGGAAGTTTGAAGCCAATCCGATTCCTCAGAAACTGTTTGATTTTGAAAAATACTATGTGACACATTAACTGCAAGTTAAGCTTTTTAAATTTCCACCTGTATCTGATCAGGTGCTGCACTGAGGTTCTTGCTGTTATACTTATAGTGACCTCGTGAAGTTGATGGTCAAGTTAAAGCTACAAGGACTGATTTGAATTAATTAATCAAAAGGATAATTAAAGCATCCTTTAAATATTGGCTCCCCAAATCTTGGTTAGTGTTTCTAGTGCTTAATTATCTGTTGGCTGTCTCCCACCGCAGACTGTGACCGCCCGCTCACCAGCATGGTCCAGTGCTGACCCCTAGGTTCGGCTACCCAGCTCTGCCGTTCCTGTGGGTAGACTCTTCAGGGAAAGCCTGTGGCTCATGACACTGAACAGGGTTTCTCCACAACCTTGCGTAGTTCTTAAACTTCAAAGCGCCCATTTCAGTCTGAGTGACTGTTATGTGCTAGACACCGTCCTAGGCATTGGAGTTCTTTAGGGGCCAGGTAGTGGGCAAATGATGACCGAACAGTGCTCCACATGAATGAGAGAACGGAGTTGACACTTAGCTGCCGGGGATGGGGGAAGCACTGCAGCGGACGTATCTGGTGGAGGAGGAAGGCAAAGAAAGGCTTCCCAGGAAGGGGTCCGCTGGTGCAAAGCTTAAGGTACAGAGAACGTCAGAGGACAGTTACTAAGCTGGTGGGCCGAAGAGCAGTGAACCCACTGGAGGAAGGAGGCATAGTCTGAAGGCCCTCCTGCCCTGCCAAGGAATGTGCGCCTTCTTTCTAGACCACAGGGAGCCATTAAGTAACACAGAAGTGATACTGTGTCTCGTGTGATGATCCACCTGGAATTAAATTCCTACATTCTCTGTTCCGGGTGCTTCCAGTAGAATCTACTGCTATTGAAATGGGGAGATTTCTCGTTTCACAGTAATGCCAGGAGGCTAATTAGACGCTGAGTCCTCCGAAGGTGGAGACCAGCATGACTTCCTTCCTGGCAGCTGGGGGGCTCTGGTTGGTGCTGGACTGCAGGGCCTTCTTCAGATGTGCTCTTCACAATTACTGTCACGGGGGTCAGTCTGTTTATCAGGAGGAGTGTCCTTCCTGGGTTGCCCGCAGCCGTGGTCGTCAGCAACAGGGTGTAAGAGGGGTGTCCAGGCTGATGGCACGGAGGTCGGTTAGGGTGTCGGTGGAAGGAACGGGTGAAGGACAGTCAGGATTTCAGCTAGAATAATGGCAACTGAAAGGCATTAAGAGGCAGCCGTGAGGTGGGGAGGGTCTCGCTCTGTGGTAGAGCATGTGCTTAGCATGCACAAGGCCCTGGGTTCAATCCCCAGTCCCTCCATTAAAAAGAGAGAGAGGAGAGACAAGTCTATGAGAGAGACAACCTGCAAGTCATGCTTGAAAGCAAAAGCTTTTCCTCCACAGCCAACCTCTAAGCTGAATTCTGTTCATTAATCCATGGGCTGTACTAACAAGTTTCCCATGGTGGTCATTTTTATTATCTAGGAATGCATTTTATGCCCTGGTGTCAGGTTGCTACCTTAATTTAAATACATGTATGAAATGGATTTATAAATGATTTATCATATCCACAACCTGCTGGAATTCTCTATTTTAGAAATCTAGGTTATTAAACTTATGACTTTATGCCATTAAGACTTCACATTTATTCCCACCATGCTCTGCCTGTTTCGGAGCAGCTGTATTTTCCTGAACCAGTTTGATTTTCCCCACAGCCCTGTGAAGTAAAGAAGTCAGGGGATGGTTAATTCCCATAGCAAAATGATGAAACAGGTTTAGGAAGGTGAATTGATGTTTCCAAAGCCACACATCTAGAGTATGGCTTTCCTTGGGTTCTGAGTTCACAGTTTAAATAACGTGCAGTAAGTGTACGGACTGAGTCAAAGACCGACGACTAATACGATCTCTGTGAAGTATGCGGCTCACAGGGCTCAGAAAGGCCGCGTGGTGCCGGCACGAGCTGTGTGCTGCCTGACCGTGAGCTTCCGGAGGGCAGGAATCGTGTCTGTTAGTCTTTCTACCTGCAGTGCTCCACAGCGTGCCTAGTGCACCGGAGACACGTGAAGCCTGTTTATGGAGCTTTACTGAAGTCAGGTCCTTCACCTGTGGACGGCTGTAGGACTGTGGTCAAGCTCCTTAATTTCTCAGTTGTTCATCAGACCACCAGATGGGCTGTGCATCGCCTCGCTTGTAGGTTATTGGAAATCTGCAGTGAAGGGAGAGAAGCTGCACCTAGCACAGTGCCTAGCACGCTGGAGTCACCAACTGAATGTTCACTGTGAATCCACTTAACATGTTTACTCTTTTGTCAGTTGAACTGTAATGCTGTTGGAGCTGCCGTATTTATAACCATTTAAGGAGCAGCATTACGACTACCCACGTGGAATCAAATACTCGACTTCTCACTATTTAAAAATGTTTTTATTAGCTTTAATCCTTCAGCTTTGCCGTATACAAAGTAGACGTTGAGTCCTCTAAAGATTAGCAATCAGAAGCGCTTCTTCCATGGCCGAGGGGGTCTTGGGGTCCACTTAACAGCAGATGACGGGACTGTTCGCTGCAGCAGCCCCACGTCCGGTGCTCCTCCCCCTTGCGTCTCTGCCCCGCGGAGGTACTGACGTGACAAGACCCTGCAGCACAGGGAGCTCAGTCCTCTAGAGCCTCTTTGTGCTGATTCAGCTGTTTACATATATAGCAGTCTTCCCATTTATTTCATTAATTTTACTAACAGCTTTGATGATTAATTCTTAACAATTAAGTCAAGCTTTGTCTGGCGATAAGCCTGCAAACTTTGAGCTATATCTGTGGATATTCTAAGTAAAACTTCCAGGTCAGAACAACTTTATTTTCATTGAACTTAAGCAAACACTCGTGTACTTTTCTGTTAATTGGAAAAATCAACTGTGAGTAGAAAAGCCTTTAAAAGTGTGTTAACTTTATGAGATCTCTAAAATAGAAATTACTTTTTATCTGTAGCTTGAATAAATAAGGTCTACCTAATATTAGTTCCAAGTGAAAATACTTATTTTTTTAAATACTTTGGCGCATTAAAATTAAAGTGGCTTTTTGAAAATATAAACACATTCAATACGTATGTTCAAACAGCTATGTCCCCTCGGCATTGTGTTCTCTTCTTTGTTTGGTGGTATTGCCACTGCTGCTGGGGAGACTAGCCTCCCCACGCCCGATAAAAATGGCCACGCAGGTTGCGCATGGCTGGCGAGGCGGTCAGCGTGCGTTGTACACTCGTTTTGTAGGTGAGAACTCTCAGACTCGGAGAGTAAACTCAGCAGCAGCAACAGCATTGACGTTCTCCCCCTTCATCACAGTGTTGGAAATTATAAGCCCCTTACAATTAAAAAGCGGAACCAAAGGATTGCCCCTCGCAACATCTACATTTGGCCCTCATACAACTGTTGCAAATAATGCAAGACTGTGAGAGCACTTTCAACTACATTTTACACCATTTCGTTATTTATCGTTAGCCTTACTTTCCATCTTACAATGGGATTTCTTCTGCTAACTTCACAAGAGACTGCGGCTCCTGTACCTGCTGCAGACATAAAGCCATCCTCCATCTCTGTTCCTGCACCACCTACACGCAGCATGGGCCGTGGCAGCATTTTAATCCGATAGTAGTGTGTTCTTAAGCAGCAGCACCCTAGCCGAGAGCTGGTGTCACCCGATGGGAAGTGAAGCCTTGACCTGCCCCCTCCCCGCCCCTCCCCCCCGTGCAGCGTGTCCTGTGTAAGTCAGGCTCCTTGTGTGTGTTCCAGTGTACAGTCCAGAAAACACTATGCCTGCCAACAAAACACAAACCCTCATGTTGGAAGTCAGTGTACGTCGCTTAGAGCACCGTCAGGTACACGGTAGATGCTGTGGTCCTTATTTCAGTGTTGACTGTTCTGGATACTTTGTATCGAGGGTTACTTACTCCACATTGAATACATGAACATTGAAAGTATGTACATGGCTTTATGGATTCAATTTTCTGAAAAACAACCCCAAAATAAGCCATTTTAGATGGGTTCACGAGCAAAGAATCGATAAGTCTCTGTAGCTAACTCAAAGTATTTCGATTTAAATGTCATTTGAAAGACTCTCCTGATTAAATTAGCTCGTGAAGTGATGCTAGGTTATTAGCCTAGACTGTCCCTTTCTTTCCTGTCCTGTCGTGACCGTTGACACTGAGGAACGGGCTCGTCAGCCCCGCGCTACGAGTCGAAGCGACGTGCATCTCTCACGTAAACCTGCCACAGTCGCGTTGGCAGACGTGGTGGTTTTAGCTCGGTCACCAAATACCATAGCTCACAGGCTAACAGAGAAACCAGTTCAATGATTTTATGTACTTTTTTTTTAATGTTTATATTAGTTTTCAAAATGGTTTTGCTTCCTAACCCTCCCATTATATGAAGCCTCTCACTTTGAAAGTCACAGACTGCAGACTGGTAAGTCCATCGACTCTGTCATGCTGATCATTCATGATTTTAGTTACAGTAAACACATGACCATTGCACAGTTTTTTTCTTAGCCCAGAGTATTTCCAGTCTGAAGAGTTATTATTCTTTTTTAAATACATGAGTGCCTCATCTCTTGTTGTTGTCATTTTGTTTTCGAAACAAACTTCGAGCCCAGAGTGTACACTCATGATGTCGACGGCTGTTGTTGTTTTCCCTTGGACACTCTGTGCTTTGAAAATCAACTTTCATTTGTGTGGTGCCGGCTTTTCGTTTGTTGCCTTCTTTGTGTTTTTGCTTTCAAAGTCACCTGTGATCAAGGTACATTTCAACTGAAATGTGAGTGGAGCTTCTGAAACTCCTGAGACTTCCCCTGCCGCCCGCACACAGGCATTGTTTAGGGGTGCAGACCAGCCCCCAGGGCCCCGAGATGTCCTGCTTTGCACCTCCCGCTGTGAGATGCAGCGCCCAGCGGGGCCACCGAACCCCTTCGCCCCACTTGGCATTCAGAGTTGGGTCTGCTTCCTTCCCTGGAAGGAAGGCTCCAGCCAGGGACAGCCCTGTGAGACAAGTAGTGAGAGAGTCCATTGAAATGAGCTCCTAAACATTTGCTGGTCATGTAGTTTTCACAGAAGTCCTTTCATTAATTCTGCAGTAAAAGAAGCCCTAGGCCCTGTTTTCTGTGCACCTGGAGTGCCTTTGCGTTGAATCCTGTGGCTGCACTCTGGGGACAAAGACGATTTGACTTTCACGTTGGCAAGAGATGCAGAGATCACCCCTACACACACCTCACCCCCTCTCCCCCCTCAAAAAAGAAAAATTTAAGTTTAAACCTCTCAATTTCTTGAGGTTCTTTCTAAAATGTTGCCAAACCCATGCTGCTATTTTTAACAGAGAGATACCTAAGTTGTTAAGATTCAAATGTTCTTTTCTTACAAAGAAAAAGTGCATCTACCTGCCAAGTGCATGACCTCGTGAGCTTCAGATAGAAAACTGGCTATGATCCGTGACTGGTTGTGGTTCAGACGATGCTAGATGGACATGCGAGTTTCTCGGAGGTGGGATGGAAAGGGTGGGCAGGCGAAGGTGGTGGGTGACGGCGATCCCTCTGGACTTCCTGCAGGAGAGAAGGTTCTGCAGGATGACGAGTTCACCTGTGACCTCTTCCGCTTCTTGCAGCTGCTCTGTGAGGGACACAACTCAGGTTTGTGAGACCCCAGGCCGTCGAGTGGCACCCAGGCAGGAGCCTCTTGCAGCCAGTAAGAGCAGGAGCCTGCGCGTTCCAGTGACTCGGCTTCCTTTCAGCCGACAGTCCGAGAGCATTGCCTGAGGCACTGGCCCCGGGTGGCTGATATGTCGAGTTGCCTCCTTCAGAGTCCTTTGCTCGCCATTTCTCTCCATTCTCATTAGTCACCCTTACATTAGAGAGGGCAGGGGACGAGGAGGAAAGGTGCAGGTTAGAGGGGTGTCTGTGGGGAGCCGTGTAGCTGCACTGCTTTTTCACCCCTTCCTTACTGTGTACGTCACTGTGGCGCAGCCTGGCGTGTTTCCCTTCCTTGTTCACCTATCTGGCCTCCACCAGTCCCTCGCACTTAGCTCCGTCCCGAGGAGCAAGAGGTTGCTGAATAAATCATGCAGTTACTCTCTCCTACAGGGCGGGGGTCCTTTCGGTCAGGCACCCTCCCCGAGCCCTAGGGCCCTAGATCAGGAAGCAGGTGTTAGCAACCTCTTGATGAAGTTTGAATATTGACGTTCTGCAAAGCACCCAGCTGTGCGTTTGAGGTGCTCCCTTACTTTTTATGGAAAATATAAATTACTCAGTTTTGTCAGATCAAACACTACACCCGGCTGGAGACATTATTTGATGTGAGAGTTATTCAGATAACTCTTTTTTGATTTTTCAGTGAGCTTTAATAACATCTTCTGATCTTACAGATTTTCAAAATTATCTGAGAACTCAGACGGGCAACAATACAACTGTCAACATCATCATCTCCACGGTGGACTACCTGCTGCGAGTCCAGGTACGTCACCTGGCACGAGTAACGCAGAAGGCGCTGGCTAGTTGACACGCTGCGTGGAACTGTCGGACTGACGTGTTGTGAGGTGTCTGACTTGTGAGGACAGAATTTGCTGAGATATTTTGTCTTTGATCAGACTTTCCCCAAGTCTTAGCCTCTGATCCCGGCTCTCACTTTGCTAATTGGTTTCTTCCTGCAAGTGGGAATGTTTCTCCCCCAGTCTTTAGCTTGATGGCATTTCAAGTTCCTGTTCAGTGTGTGAAGCATGAGCATGCGCTGTTTCGTCTACAGCTGATAGAGAGGTGGGGGAAGGACATTTGAAACATGACTGAAAACGGGTAGGAAAGGCTTTTAAACTGCCTCCCATGCGCTGCAGGCTATTAGCCTACGGTTCGCTCTTTTCAGCTGTTCTAATACTTGAATTGATTTAAAAACTCATCTTAACACTCCATCACTTAAAATCTCCTTGATGTGGTGGTGACGTTTTGCGTGTTACTGAATCTGAAGGGGTCGGCCTCTTAAGTAATGAGATTCTGCACAACTTTTATTTCCCTCATTTTATTTATGAGGAAGTCAGATTCAGTGCTTTTAAAAACTGGAAATTCGAACTCTCAGTTTCTCCCTTAATCTTTGACGATGCTGATGCAGAACACTCTTCCTTAAAGCTTGATGGAGAAAACAAAGTCCATTTCTGAATCAAATATATCAAGAAGTGTTGCTGAAGGTATATTTGTGGCTTTCAAAATCACGTCTCAAAACCCTAATGTAGCTGATATGCCAGCCCAAACGGGATCATTCATCTCGGCAGACAGTCCTTCAGAATGCAAGCCGCTGCTGCAGATGTTCTGGGTGGAAGGACTGGTCTTGCTTAGACGTTTGTTTGCAGTTGTCCGTGTCTATAAGGCGTCCAGCCAGTTTGTTGAGGGGCAGCCACACGAGCAGGGGGCTTCCTGGCGTTCTCATCAAAGACGCGTCTCCGGCTTTGCTGGAGAAGGAGACCAGGTGTCGGGAGCACAGAGATGCTGCTCTGCCGTTGTCTGACTGCTGTGCTCACGTGGTGAGCAGCTGCCCCTGTGGGCAAATGTGCATTCGTGTTATGAGTCCTGTGTTTGTGAAGTTCAGGGCCGTCACAGACAGACAGTCATTTCTGAAGCTAAGTTTCTGCTGCTTCTCTCCAGTTGTTACTTATTTCTAGGGAGGATGTGGCCATCTTTTATTTTCAGGAAAATCATTGAGAATAGTGTTTACTTCACAGATGTTTTTTGTTTGCTTTTAATTTGTTACTTAAAATGCTTTCCTCTTGCAGAGGCTAATGCTGGCCAGGTCTTTGATAGCTTCTGAAGGTGCCTTAACTCTGTTGTCCCTCCTTTCCAGGAATCAATCAGTGATTTCTATTGGTATTACTCTGGGAAGGACGTCATCGATGAGCAAGGACAAAGGAATTTCTCCAAAGCAATTCAAGTAGCAAAGCAAGTCTTCAACACTCTTACAGAGTATATTCAGGTAAACATTCAAACGTTTCTGCTACTTGAAGAAGGAGAGAAGGAGGAGTCAGCTGGTTAGCGCTGAACTCCTTACTGCAGCGTGTCAGGTGTTTTCCTGCCGTGGAGCCTTAGCCAGTTAGGCATTTAAAATCTGGAGTTGAGATGTGAACTTCTACAGAGTGAACTTGCGTCACCACTTGGCAGCCTGAGGTGTCGTGAGCTCCTTCAGGACGTTCGTGCCCTGGGGTGATGCTGACTGCGTCGCCCCTGGGCCTGGTGTGTGTGCTGAGCACTCAGTAAGCGTTAAGGAAGGAGAGAAGAGAAGAATGAGGGGCTGAGCCTTAAACCACTCTTCAGAGTGTTCCCGTGAGGATGAGGAAGAAGTTTCACAGGAGCTTTATAAAGAAGGGAAGAGCGTTGTAAAGCTTCATTTTCATATATTTGTGTGTGTGTTGTCTGCTGAAAAAAAATGTACAACCTGAAAGTTGAGAATTATGTTTTATTCTGAGGACGTACGCCCAGGAGACAGCCTCTCAGCTCTGAGGGACTGCTTCCGAGAGTTAAGGCAGAAACAAGGATATATAGGAGGTTTTTTCCCCAAACAACCAGGGAGTCAGAACATGAAAAGATCACTATAAATTAAAGAAAACCAGACCTCTCAAGTTACTGAATTTAGCACTTTTCTGTGTGTGGGAAGAGGCAAGTGTCTGGGCTCACTGAAGTCAGTCCTTCGATGTGCACTTAGCTGTCCAGGGCCCGTGTCCACTGTTCTCCGTCCCGAGTCCCCTCGGGGGCACGAGCAGGCTGGCGGAGGCTGCAGAGCTGAGGGCGTGGTGGCTGCAGCGTCCTTTGTTTTCTGATGTGGCAGGTGACATTCTTTGTCTACAGCGTACACACAACACCCCCATGTATATAATTACATAGTAATTAAATATATATTATAATAATAAGTATACATAATAATTATGTTTGATAATCTGTGACCTATTATATAGGTAAAATACCAAATGTTATGAATAATATACCTTTTTTCACATTAATCTGTTTTGTATTCCTCTCGGGGTAGACTTCTAGTCTTAACCTGCAGATTTTTAAAAGATTTTACACAACTCTGCTTTTCTCAGCAAGCAAAACTTGGCTGTCTTCTAGAAGCCCAGTCACCTTTCCTTCCTGTATCCTCCATGGCCAATATATTACTCTGACTCAGTCACTCAGAGTGTTTAAAGTGCAGAATGAAACAGGAGGAAGAAACTTACAGTCGGCTTCGTTAGACTAAACACAGTGTAGAAGTAACAGACCGTGTCCCCGGAGCCGCGCACGCCGACAGGAGTTTGAGGGGTGACTGAGCGGACGCAGGACTCCCGGCCGAGGCTCAGGGCTGCAGAGGAGAGCCTGCGGGACGGCGGTTCTCAGCTGCCCCAGGCTCCCCCGCTCCTCTGCACTAGCACCTTGGGGGGCAGGGCTCGCCTTCTCTCCCCTCCCTGGGCAGGGAGGGGCTCCCTCGTTTCAGCAGAAATTGTCTCCATCCATCCAGTCTCCCTGCTACAGCACACGCGTGGTGGCGCTCAGAGACCACCGTGCAGTGTGAGCCGAGGGGCAAAGCTGGCTTCCCGTTGCCTGCAGTTCCGGGCTCATAAAGTCACTGACTAGGCAGTAATCTTTAAAAACCTCCGCAGCTGCATGGCGGGTCACTGTCGTGCGGTTATACCAGCACGAGAGCTCTGAAGAGGGGTTTTTGTCCTCTGCTGGAATGCTTTGTCCAGGGTCTTCACTAGCAGTAAGAAGTAAGTACTCTTAGCTGAAGCACCACCCAGCTTCTCAGATGGGGCGTAACTGCCGGTCGAGCTGACTTAGCTAAAATGACGACCTTATCCTCCTTTTCCTCTAAATAGAAGAAACCGAAGTCGGACAAAAATGAAATCATTCACCGTTTTTTCCCCGGTGCTGAATTATTCATACAGGAAGAGAACCTGGAAGTCCTTGAGAGACTTTCATTACATTAAACGTTTCAAAGGAGAGTACGCTTAGCTCGTGACAGAATTATCCCAGCACCGTCACTGTCTTCCCTCTCGGGTTCCTGCCTTTTCGGATGGTGTGTTGGTGACAAATACGTAAACACTAAGTGCGTTTTGTCCCCGTCACTGTGACGTGTGCATTGGCACTTACATGATGGGGTGATGGCTGTTGTCTGTCCGCTCCAGGGCCCTTGCACGGGGAACCAGCAGAGCCTGGCCCACAGCCGGCTGTGGGACGCGGTGGTGGGCTTCCTCCACGTGTTTGCCCACATGCAGATGAAGCTGTCCCAGGTAAGGTGCGAGCCCTCTGCGTCCCGGCTGGCGGGCTGGAGGCTGTGGGCGCTGGCAGACTTGTTTTGTTTGGCTAGTCGCTCTCTCAGGTTACTTCTCTGTACGTCTTTTACTCTGCTTTTAAAAAAAACACATTTTTTAAAATAAAAAATTACTGGAGAAATAAAACAGTGCAGTTCCCAAACACTGTACATTTTACAGTCCTTCATAGGGCCACATCTCGATGGTCACGCACTGGAATTCTCCTCCCTGCAGATAGTTGAGAAAGGATTTGTGACAAATCCCTTGTTAAGGGGAGTCAGTTTTCTTACAGGGAGATAAACAGGCAGTTGTTCTCAGTAGGTGACATTCACCCATAAACAGGAAATTTAACTTCGTGAAAGTCAAAGAGGAAAAAAAGCTACACCGACAGGCAGATGAAGCAGCAGTCCTCACCGTGTCGCGGTGCTAATTGGGGGGCACGTCGGGAAAACATCAGTGTGCTGTTTTCTCACTGCTCTGCTGCATTTGGAGCTCAGAGATCCTTGAATAGAAAGTCTTCGTGTAAATCTGGAGTAAATATGTCCCTTTGACGCAGTGAGTTTTGATGGTTCGTCCTGAGGTCTGACCTACCGCTCATGGCCGGGGTACCTGCCGGTGTCAGGTGGAGGAGAGAATGCTAGATTTACCACCACGAGACCCCAGTCCAGCCCCCGTGGTTTTATTCCCGTGTGCCAGGAGCGTGGGCCAGCTCCCTGTCTTCCCTGAGTCTCCTGAGTCAGCGAAGGGAAGAGTTAGAGAGGGCTGGTCATGGTGAATGAGATTGGGCCTGCTGTCTGCCAGCTGGCAGCGTTGCTGAGGTCAGGGTCCTGCCTTCCCGCAGAGCCTGGGGGACAGGCCCTGTCCTCAGGGGTTGGCTGAAACGAACGGCAGATTTTTCTGGCAGCCCTGAGTTTCCTCAGGCAGGCACCCCAGGGGGCTGGGGTCATGAGAAACTGGGGTTGTGTTTTGTTCCAGGCTTTATAGACCAAGATTGAAGCCTGGCTGGGAAGGGGGCCCGAGGAGCCTGGCTAGCTTGGTCAAGGAGAGAATCTTTGTCAGGTTCTAGTTACTGGTGACTTCAGCCTAGTAAGGAGAAACCATGGTGCTTTCAGCTGCTTGCTGATGACGTTTTAGTAAGTGAAGGAGCAAGGTCACTGAGTAGGTAAAGATCTGTCAACACGAACACACGTGGGCACTCACAAGAGTTCTTCTGCCGCGCTGCCCACCTTTTAGTAACACAGGAGCTGCCTGGCAGGTGTTGACAGCGTGCAGACCTAGTCAGAGCGACAACCAGGTAGAAGGAACCGTTCCGTCCCTCCAGCAGTGCTGAAGTTCAGCTGCCTGTGTAGCAACATCCGAGTGAATGAAATGAGACCTTGTCTAATTGTTTAAAAGGAGCAAGAGGTGCAGTTTACAAGAAGAAGAAAATCCGATGCTTCACAAGGTGGCGATGTAGCTGTAAGCACAGTCGCTGCTTCCGGGCCCTGAGCCTCAGCACAGTGATGTTTAGACACATCTCTATGCAAAATAATGTTTTTTCAAAACATTTCAAAAAAAATCAAAAACAAAGCCAAAAAACCCCAGAAAATTTTGACCGAAGAAATATCTGAGGGCTTAAAGAAACTGGCAAATAAGACATACTGTGCACTGTTAACGCAGATGCTACTTGGGTACATGTCTGGTTAGATTTCTGTGAATAAGTTCATTTCATGTTCCCTGTTATGCCTGTTTTTTCCCAGAATAGTTTAATCTTTACAAAGTATGTAACATCTTGTGTAGTAAGTCAGAAGGAAGGAAAGACCAGTCCAGTCTTCAGTGAAAGGAAGGGGGCCCACGTGCAGAAGCAGGTTGAGCCTGGCCCGGAGTTTCCACCCCATGGTGGTTCTCCGTTAGACGTGTTCCCTGTCCTTACAGACACTTTAATAAACATGAGTTGGCGTCAATAATAAATACTCTTTAGTCCTGAAGTGTCTATTTTCTGTAAGCGCCATACCTATGCTCAGCTCTCTTCAGCTCTGTATCTCTGTGAAGGGCCCACCGTGGGTGGGGCAGTGCTCTGTTTTGTGAAGGTACGTAAGTGTTCTTGCTGCAGAGCTCCCGCGTGTTACCTCACGTGCAGTGTGTTAATCCTTCCAGGACTCCAGTCAAATTGAGCTCCTGAAAGAGCTGATGGACCTTCAGAAGGACATGGTGGTCATGCTGCTGTCCATGCTGGAAGGTACTGGTTTGTGTTTTCCAGTTGCATGTATGCTCTTACTTCAGAGCCCAACACGTGCTTGCGTTTGGAGTCAGCCTGCTGCAGAGGACAGACATCACCACGGGGTGGGACAGGCAGCTCCATTTGTTGCTGGCTTGAGGACTCTTTTCTCGAGTTAGCTTTTAAGGAAGAGAAATCCTGCCGATCTCGGCTGACACTTCTGTGGGGTGAAACAGTAATGTTTTATTCACAGTGGTATTTTCATGTCCCAGTGATATCTCTCCAAAGAGCGTGCTCTGCAGAGTTAGTAGGTTGGTAGGTTTGTGGTCGGTGGGATGACAGACGCTGGGACACACGCCGACCGAGTCCGTCAAGGCTCTGAGCTGACTGCGCTGTGACAGCCCCCCTGGAGGAGGGGCTGCGGACAGCGCCCCAGCCCCCAGGGCGGCCCCGGTGGCAGCCCGGCCCCCCACCCCACGCCCCCCTCTGTTCCTATTCTCCCTCTTTCTCTTTGCGACCTCTCTTCCTTGCTCCTGCCTTCCCTTCCCGGTTTCTCAGTCTGCCCTGCATTGCGTGACCGCACTTTGACTAATTAAGGCGGTCATCACGCCTTGTGCTGGGGCTTCAAAAAGGCAGTCTTAGCTTAAAACCCTGAGTGGGCGGCCACTCTGTGCCCCCGAGCGCGAGATCCTTTTCCCATGAGCTCAGCTCAGATGTTAGTCAAGTAACCTCAGCACAACCAACGTAACTGAGCAGCCACGGGGACGACAGCTGGAAACTGCCCTCGTTTAACGTGCGGCTGCGGTTTGAGTGCTTGTGTCATCCTAGTACTAGGTTTACGAGTTTGAGTGTCACTGTCACTGCTCTGCGAAGGAGGAAGCAGTGTGGGGCCTGGGGAGCCTCCCGGTTGCTGAGCTGGCGGCCGGGGGCCGGCATTCACACCCAGCAGCAGGGCTCCAGGCCCGCGCTCAGCCTGGGCCTCCTGCCTCCCAGACGCGGTCAGCACACCCCTCCCCAGGCGTCTTTTCTCCTGTCGTCCACCTCTGTGTTCTGTATCACGCTCTGTTCAAGGAGCAGAAGTGCTGGAGGGTAGCCAGCTCTCTCCAGCGTGTCAGTCACCTGCCCTTTGCTCACTGTAAATGTTCTGGACCATAAAGAAATGGGGGGGGGCTTTACATTTCAAATCAGGAAGAGCGTATACTTCGCTCTCAGCAGACCCAGTGCAGGCCCTGGCACTGACCCTCCAAAGTCGCGTCTCAGCGGCACGTGGTCGAGCCGCGCTAAACCTTGGTTTCCCCGGTAGTGAAACCAGAGTTAATACGCACACCTGCCTCACAGACGTGAACGTCAAATCAGGTGATGTCTACAGGAGTGATTTTTCAACCCTAAAGGGCTATGCAGACACTCATTCTGTTATTAACGTGAGACTGGATTTCAGTTTCCGGCTTCAGGATAGAAACGTTTGCCCCGTTTTTTTTAACTCTAAAACATGTTGCTGCTTGGATCAAGCTGAGGGGGAGAAAAGTCAGCTTTTCTTTATGCACTGTTTACGTGTGTTAGTCTAATCACTTTGCAGATATGCTTTTGCATGTGTTCATGTAATCACACAAAGCAGAGTTTACAGAGAATTATCCGTCTTTTCCTTCGTACGCTGGAAGGTAAACGGAGATGTCGCTGATGCAGACGTTGTCTGAGATTTGCATTGCTTTTTGTTATCGTTCTCCATAGACACTGGCTTTCTCAGGAATGTTCATTTTGAACCAATGCAATTCTTTTTTTTTTAATAATTTATTTATTTGGGGTGGGTAACTAGGTTTATTTATTTATTTAATGAAGGGCCTGGGGGCTGAACCCAGACCTCTTGCGTGTGGGCTCGTGCTCCACCGCTGAGCTGTGCCCTCCCCGCTGAACCAGCGTGCTTCTTTACCGCCAGGTAATGTTGTGAACGGCACCATCGGCAAACAGATGGTGGACATGCTCGTGGAGTCTTCCAACAACGTGGAGATGATTCTCAAATTTTTTGACATGTTCCTGAAACTGAAGGACTTGACGTCTTCCGACGCCTTCAAAGAGTATGACCCCGATGGCAAGGGCGTCATCTCCAAGAGGGACTTCCACAAGGCGATGGAGAGCCACAAGCACTACACGCCGTCCGAGACCGAGTTCCTCCTGTCCTGCGCCGAGACGGACGAGAACGAAACCCTGGACTACGAGGAGTTCGTCAAGCGGTTCCACGAGCCCGCCAAGGACATCGGCTTCAACGTGGCGGTGCTGCTGACAAACCTGTCCGAGCACATGCCCAACGACAGCCGGCTGCAGACCTTCCTGGAGCTGGCCGAGAGCGTGCTCAGCTACTTCCAGCCCTTCCTGGGCCGCATCGAGGTCATGGGCAGCGCCAAGCGCATCGAGAGGGTCTACTTTGAGATCAGCGAGTCCAGCCGGACCCAGTGGGAGAAGCCCCAGGTCAAGGAGTCCAAGAGGCAGTTCATATTCGACGTGGTCAACGAGGGGGGTGAGAAGGAGAAGATGGAGCTGTTCGTGAACTTCTGTGAGGACACCATCTTCGAGATGCAGCTGGCGGCTCAGATCTCAGAGTCGGACCTGAACGAGAGGTCGGCGAGCAAGGAGGAGAGCGAGAAGGAGCGGCCGGAGGAACCGGGCCCGAGGATGGGCTTCTTCTCCCTGGGGACGGTGCGCGCGGCCCTGCTCGCCCTGCGCTACAACGTCCTGGCCCTCATGCGGATGCTCAGCCTCAAGAGCCTGAGGAAGCAGGTGAAGCGCGTGAAGAAGATGACGGTCAAGGACATGGTCACGGCCGTCTTCACATCCTACTGGGCCGTCTTCCTCAGCCTCCTGCACTTTGTGGCCAGCGTGTTCAGGGGCTTCTCCCGCATCCTCTGCAGCCTCCTGCTGGGGGGCAGCTTGGTGGAAGGTGCCAAGAAGATCCGAGTGGCCGAGCTCTTGGCCAACATGCCGGACCCCACGCAGGACGAGGTCAGGGGGGACGGGGAGGATGCAGAGAGGAAGGCCACGGAAGCTGCCCTGCCCTCTGAAGACCTCACAGACCTGAAAGAGCTGACGGAGGAGAGCGACCTGCTCTCCGACATCTTCGGCTTGGACCTGAAGCGAGAAGGAGGACAGTACAAACTCATCCCGCATAATCCCAATGCCGGCCTGAGCGACCTCATGAGCAGCCCGGTCCCCATCCCCGAGGTGCAGGAGAAGTTCCAGGTAACGTCTCTCCAACCCCAGCAGGCCTCTGGGCATCAGGCAGCCCTGCAAGTGACCTTGACAGCAGCTATCTGGCTTGTGCCAGAGTGGCGGTCAGTGTGCGACTTGACCTGGGTAGGCAGAGCCAGGCTCCTGTGACGGTTCTGTGAGTGATTGAGTTGAACCGTGCAGAGGTAAGCTCAAGTCCCCACCCCGGCGACACCAGGCGACTGAATAGCCATCCTGCCTACCAGTATTTTATGGGTATTTGCCATGTGACCGACCCCGCTGATTGTCATAGGGAATTCAGAGAAACATAAGATGTGGTCACTGCTTTCAAGTTGCCTTAGGAGTTTATTAGAAAGATAGAACCAACACTCATGAAAAACAAGAAGATTCCTGAGAGTTAGGAAGCAGCAGACAGTTGGGGTCCCTTGTGCTGAGAAAAAGGAAACATCAGTGTGGTTCGGGGTAGTGAGATGAGACTTAAGTGGACTGAAGTTGGTGTTGGAGGGTG